ATACCTTACAATTATTTTAACTAAACTCACCGGTCCGGCGCGAAGAAGTACTTTAGAACATCAATTCACTTCGGTATCCGCGTTGATCAAGCATTTGAAGAGAAGATTTGGACCAGGAAAGAGCTTATCGCAATTTCAAACAGAAATTGCCAGGCTTCAAATTAGGGAATACGAAAGTTTGAGAAACTACATCGATAGAACAAGCCATCTTGTTTATTGTACAAGAGGAGCGATTAAAGAGAAATATCCTAGACATTCAGAGGAAAATATTAAACAAATGGAAATGGATATTTTAGAAAATTTCCTAGATGGATTACCAGACCGCATCTCTTTTAAGGTATCAGCACAAAATAGAGACATTAAAAACTTAGAGGAAGCTTTTGACGCTGTGCTAGAGGTAGACAGGAAATTAAGAAGTCGTCGTGATTTGGCACGAAACACATCACCAGGAGGCTGGAACAACAGGGATCACCACAGCAACGAACGTCGAAATGAAATTTCATACCCTCAATCTCCAACACGACACGATCGATATAGAGATCGACAGAGGAGACCATCTAACTCTGAAGACGAGAGAGAAGGACGACCACGTACATCAGCATGGACTGTGCGATCCAGGAATCAATCGAATTCACCTTCTTATCGTTCAAATTCACCACGCACAGATCAAGATGAAAAACGGTTTACAGTTTTAAAACGCAGTGAAAAGGATGATACTTCGCAGCTATATTGTTGGCGATGTGATACCCAAGGACACGATGAAAAACGTTGTAGGAGGAATTCGCAAAATTTCAGACAGCGATCATACTCTCGAAATTCTTCAGTCGAATCAAACAAGTCTTTAAACTCAGAAAACGCTCAACGGAAAGGCGAGGCGGTGAGCGATCTGCAAAGACCTCGCCAAAAGATAGTCAGATTCACGGGAGAATCCTCATCAAGGAAACCCCAGCACCAAGAATAAAAATCAAAGTTCCGGAATTAGAATTAGAAACAGCTGAATTTTTAATTGACGGTGGCGCGGCAGTTAACTTAATAGTGCGCGATGTTCTCGGAGATCAAGCCAAACGTATCACTAAAGAAGTTATTGAAATCACAGGACTTACAAAATCACCTATTTATAGCATAGGAACCACAATTCTTCACATTCACGGTAAGCCTGCATTATTTTACGTAGTAGAGAACCTTGCAATAGAAGCCGATGGAATTATAGGCAGCCCATTTTTATTACAAGAAGAAGCAGAAATTTCATATTATCATGGAACACTAGTATTGAAAGATAAACCTATTCGACCACTTCGTTTTTCAAATTACCGAGATTTAGCTCAGCAGAAAAATCCGAAATCGACTAAACACCGTATCGAAGCTCGAACAACAAAACAAATTGCAATTCACATAGCTAATCCAAATATTAAAGAGGGATACTTACCGCGACTCAAAACATCAGAAAATATATACATTGGCGAAGCAGCAGTATATAATCGTGACGGCATTTGTTACGCGTTAGCAACGAATACCGGAGAAGACGATGTAGACATCGAAATTGAACCTCAATACATTCATCCTTACGATATTTACGACTCGTCGGACGACGACCCAATTTCTTCATATATGACCGAAAACACACCAGAAAATAGAGCAACACGAATTAGAAATCTTTTAAGAACCGATCATCTCAATGCAGAAGAACGTAAACATGTATTCAACATCGTCGACGAATTTTCAGACAGATTTTACTTGCCTGGAGACAAACTAGGAGAAGTACCGAATTTTTACCATTCAATTCATACAACAGATGGCGTACCGATTAATACAAGACAATACCGATATCCACCAGTACACCAAGACGAAATACAACGTCAAGTAAAGGCTCTGTTATTACAAGGAGTCATACAGCCATCTAGTTCACCATATAATTCTCCGTTATGGATTGTACCAAAGAAACCAGACGCTAAGGGCAATAAGCGTTGGCGTATGGTAATCGATTTCCGAGCCTTAAACGAAAAGACTTTGAGTGATAAATTTCCTTTGCCGAATATCACCGAAATTCTAGATAAATTGGGAGGAGCAAAATATTTCACAATTTTTGATATAGCAAATGGATTTCATCAAGTTCAAATGGATCCTAAGGATTGTCCGAAAACAGCATTCACAACACCGGATGGGCATTTTGAATTTGTACGCATGCCATTTGGTTTAAAAAATGCACCACCGACATTTCAACGCTTAATGAATCAAGTTATATCTGGTCTAGAGAACGCTCATGTATTCATAGACGATATGGTTGTTTTCTCTTCATCACTACGAGAACATGAAATAAAAGTAAAAAAATTACTCAATCGGCTCAGAGAATTTGGACTTACACTGCAGATTGATAAATGCGAATTCTTACGTAAGGAGGTTACTTATTTAGGACACATTTTAACAGAAAATGGTGTTAAGCCAGATCCTCGTAAATTACAAGCTGTAAAAGAATTTCCCATTCCTAAAACACAGAAAAATGTCCAGCAGTTCTTGGGACTGACAGGATATTATCGCCGTTTCATAAAAGATTATTCTATTAAATCAAAACCATTAGTTCAGTTATTAGGTAAAGGAATTCGTTTTAAGTGGACCGAAGACCAGCAAAAAAGTTTTGAAAATTTACGCGACGAACTCTGTACACAACCAATTTTACAATATCCGGATTTTAATCGACCATTCATTGTTACCACTGACGCATCAGATTACGCAATTGGAGCTGTACTTAGTCAAGGAGAAATAGGAAATGATCTACCAATTGCCTACGCATCTCGTACCTTAAATAAAGCCGAAAGGAATTATTCTGCTACAGAAAAGGAATGTCTTGCAATGGTTTACGCAGTACAATATTTCAGACCGTATCTTTATGGAACAAAATTCACACTCGTCACAGATCACCGACCGTTAGTCTGGTTACACTCTGTCAAGGATCCGACATCACGACTTATGAAGTGGAGACTCAGACTCTTAGAGTACGAATATCAGGTTATCCATAAAGCAGGAAAGACGAACAAGAACGCAGACGCATTATCACGTAACCCAGTACCATCTTGCTTACCACTTATACCCCGAGATCCTCAAGACCCCGATTACAAGCACATAGGACAGAAACCAGAAATCGACACGGATTCCATAGGATTTCGTGTGCGGCAACTACAAAGGGACAGGGAAAGGAGACCGAAATATCAAGAGGAAAACACTAGCTCTGATGAAGAACCAGCCCGTGGGAAGGTTCAACATTCTCCAATAGCAGATAGACCGAGAGTCTTACCTAACTTATCGCACGAGATAAGTATGCCAGATGAACACATGGAAACAATAAACTTTCATCCGCAAGCAAATTCTACTAAAATCACATCGACAGAAGAAGACGTAAACTTGATTTCATTCGAAGAACCATCAGAAAATACCATTACGGAAAACACGATAATCGCAAACCCGCAACAGGATTTACTTAACCATACACCATTATCACTTGTAACAAATGAGGGAATTTTACAACCACAACCTGTTAACGAAACAATAGGAACGGCAATCCAGCAACCACAGGAAAACTTTGACCGTACCGTTGACCCTTATCCGTTCACACTTCTTGACACAGACACTCTTTCCACGGAGGGAGATGACCTGCGAAGAAAAGTGCAACCTTCACAGACACTTGAGGTTATTATCTCTCCAAACACCCTGACCACCGAGGAAGGTCATTACGCACATTTCATACCTGCGGACTGTAAATTGGTAACCCCCATTGGAAAACTGTTACTGGACACAGAAGCAATAGATTTACAACAGCTCATGTCAAAGAAACCGCAGAAAGGAGACGTAATAGAATCAGCAAATGGCTCATACAAAGTTTACAGTATAATAATATCAGATAATTTTTACGACACCATTAAAAGTGAAGATATACTAAACGGACTACAAACACTGAAACAGCATTTAGATCAAAATCCAATTAAATCATTTAGAATATCAGCAGTCGGAGATTTTCATAAATTACCAACCAATGAATTAACTAAATTAATAAAGGACGTTTTCAACGGTACAACACAGAAAATCATCATATGCAATTGTTCAACGATTACACCATCAGAAGAAGATCGATTACAAATAATTCGCGAAGCTCACGACAGTTTGATAGGAGGACATAAAGGAGTCACAAAAACATATAAACGCATCAGAGCGAAATATCAATGGCCAGAAATGCACAACGAAATACGAAATTATATCAGGAAATGTCCAAGCTGTCAAGAAGAGAAATTAGTTAGAGCAAAAACTCATCAACCAATGTTAATTACCGATACCCCGATAGAACCATTTGATAAAGTTGCTTTAGACACCGTAGGACCTTTACCTTTAACGCCTAGCGGAAATAAATACATTCTCACAATGCAAGATTGTTTAACGAAATATTGTATAGCAGTAGCAATACCAAACATTAGAGCAGCCACAATAGCAGACGCTTTCGCGAGACATTTTATTGCCATATATGGAACACCACGAGCAATATTAACAGACAAGGGAACTAGTTTTATCGGAAGCTTAATGAAAAATCTTTCAGAAATATTCAAAATCAAACAAATCACAACTTCTGGATACAGACCACAAACTAATGGATCACTAGAACGAAGTCATATAGTACTAACAGAATATCTTAAACATTACATGGATAATTATGAAGATTGGGACCTATTAATACCATTTGCCATGTTTTCTTACAATACTTCCGTACATGAAGCAACAAATTTCTCTCCATATGAATTAATATTTGGAAAACCAGCCCGTGAACCAAGTTCGTTTCCAACTGGCGAAAGGTTAAAATCATATGGCGACTATTTAACAGAATTAATAACTCATACTATAAAAATCCGCAACATAGCAGCCGATAATTTGATTGCTTCCAAGCACCGTTCGAAGAAGTACTATGATAAACATTCCCGACCGGTAGAATTCAATGTAGGCAATTATGCTTATGTATTGCTAGAACCACGAATTAGTAAATTTGATCCACATTATGTAGGGCCATATGAGATCATTAATGTAACAGATATGAACAACATTGTATTGCGAACACCTGACAAAACGATAACAAAACACCAAGATAAATTAAAACACGCTTATTTTCCAACCACAGCGGAAAAAACGGAAATAGCGGAAAAAACGGAAATAACGGGAAATCATGATTCCGGCACAACTACTTCTGATACCTCTGGCTCTGGTTATGAGTCAGACAGCAATTAAAGGCGGTTCAAAGGTGTTACCACTGGCGCAATCAACGGGTTTGTTTTACGATAAATTGTCAGACATACGGACATAGCAATCGCAATGGCGATTGGTCACGTCATTGGATGTTGATAAATACCTTGCACATGCACCACCAGTAGAACAGATAATTCTGGCCATGAACCAACTATAGCAAACATTTACAATACTGGAATTTTCAACCTCGAACCGGGATGTAGAGCCACAGTAAATGCGATGCAATTAAAAGCAATGGACACAATAGTAACCATGGAAAATATTATACATTACCCATCCGCGTCATACAATTTATCAGTAATCATTCCGAAAATAACAGAACATCACCTATCAGTTTTAGAAACCAATTACACTAATACAGATCAAGTAATCACAAATTGGAAGAACCTTCCGACAGCACCAAACCTAGAGGAATTGGAGCATCGGGCGAAAGAATTGGAACTTCAAGAAATTTCCACAAATCGTATAAAAATATCAACATTTTCCTCGTTTGGAGTAGTATCTTTGATCCTACTATTAATAATTGGGACAATAATAAAAAGTAATATACACAAAATCATTAATAAACTAAAACCTTTGGACAAACCGAACGAAATTGAATTGCAACTGGAAGAAATACCTAAAAACTCAGAAGAATCAAATTCAAATAATATAAATCTACCAAGGGAAAAATCTTCAGCACCTAGACCAAGTGCCACAATATTCTAAGGGGCCGTAGCCACTCCTACACATCCCTCCTCTAAGAGTCGAAATAAGAGTGGGGTAAGATAAGGGTTTTCAGACTATATAAGCAGTTCTCGGCACCATAGTCTCATCAGTAGACATCCTCAAGAAAATGAACACCATCAAAAATATAGTTTTGAGCAGTTCTGTTCGGATCGGAATTGTCCACGTGGACAATCCGGTAGAATTCTGGGCGCAGGTGGACGACGGTCGGGAAGAAGCTAGGCGACTGTACCGGGACCTGTATCGGTACATGAGCGACCGCGGCCACCTCCACTTTCCAAACCAGGGAAGACTGACCACTGGACGTCTGGTGGCGTACAGAAGTAAAGAAGGTACCTGGGTCCGAGGAGAAGTTCAACACCTGGTGGACGGCCAGTTCGAGGTGGCTCTTCGTGACCACGGCAAGGTGGTAAGGGCACCGGTCGACCAACTTCGGACCTTGCCGCCACGCTTTCAAAATCTACCGTGGCAGGCCTTCAAGGTACGAGTACGGGGTATCCGCCCTGTATGCAGGACCTGGAAGATAGAGCAGGCCAAGAGGGTGTTGGAAGGAAGGAGGGGTCTGCTAACCAACATCAGAGGCGAGGGTGAGGTCGTGGCAGATGTAGCCCTCGATCGTCTACCAGGACAACCACCATTCAACGTGGCGGAGGCGTGGTTGGGCATGAGATACGCGGTTCCAGGCCGGGTATAAAAGCAGACCACAACACCATTCTTCCAAAACACTTATCTGAGCGGACCGAAATGTGCTACATCAGGGAACAACCAACTGAGAGGGACACCAGTCGCATCGAGCTGCTGATGAACTTGACGGCCCGCCTGTGCATGCGCAGCACTTGCTACAGATTAGACGTTGGCATTGTCTGTATGCAGTGTGCTCTCGAAGCAGCCCTTGGAGCAGCAAGGATCTATGACATGGTGGAGGCCGCCTACCACTGCGAGGAGTGTATTGCCGCCATCATCATGGAAATGGAATACCAAAGAGCAAACCAACCCATACCACCGCCTGCAATAGTACCAACCTGGTACACCGAGAGACAAATCCGATCGAGGCAGCCTGGACCCAGACGTACGCTTCGACTTCATACCGCAGTTAGCAGCATCACCAACCATCACACGTAGCGATAAGTACACACACATCACACATAACACCCGACATATTGCATTACAACACCAAAACTTCAACACATTCTAGTGAGTGTTTTCCTTTCCAATTGAAAGCATCACGATTACCGCGATGTTTCATCTAAGGGGGGAGGTGTCACGTAGACAGACCGTTTTTATCAAACGTGTCTCCTTTCAAATAAGCTTAAACATCTGGAAAGGAAAACTCTCGGGCAAACCGACCATTTACTCTCGTAATAAACAGAAGGCCCACCGATAGCAGAACCAAACACTTGGGAAAGCAATGGGTCCGCCGTAATCAAATAGCAGATGCAACCACTCTAAACTGTCGCAGAGGCAGGTGGACCCAGCCTGATCACTCGAATAGTAACCAGACCACCCTTCTTAATTAGTATATAAACCCGTTCGTACCAACGATCGGGGGCAGTACCAGAGTTCATCTCGTGTCGAGCACGTCGTGTACGGTAGTGAGTTGGTTACTATTAGGGAGATCGGGTTGAAGTCCCCTTCGAGCAACATTCACCTTATAGAATCCGCGAGTCGTGTTTCTATTTGGCATTACAATCAACCACACACAACACCCCCGCATTGCCAGTGCGTGAACACCGAGCATAGTGGAAATAGGTAATATATCACATTATACACCTATATTCGCGACAACAACATCTGTAATAGACCAAGATTGTAGAATATATACATTGCTGTGTCAAACCCACATTAGCATTCTCCTTTAAACCCAGTGAAACCTTGTGACAGTTCCTACCACAATACAATCTTACCGCTCGGGTTGTATTGATAATAAAATAAGTTACGCGGCCGCCAATCAGAAAGCCTCTGATAGCCACGCGCGCTGCCAAGCCGTCGGCCACGTAACATTATTAAATGTGCATTGATCTGTGGGAATGAATCAATATATTACATTATATCGAATGTAGATATAGTACTAATAATATTGTTACAAATTGTACATTGATCTGTGGGTAGTAATCACTATATTACATTATATCTAACGTAGATATGGTAATAATGATGTTGTCATTAAATGTACATTACATACCTAATATAGATATAGTAATAATGATATTGTTATTAAATGTACCTCGATCTGTCGGAATAAATCAGTATATTACATTATATCGAATGTAGATATAGTACCAATGATATTTTTATTAAATGTACATTACATATCTAATGTAGATATAGTACTAACGATATTGTTTTGAAATGTACCGTGATCTGTGGGAATGAATCAGTATATTACAGTATATCGAATGTAGATATAGTACCAACGATATTGTTATTAAATGTTCATTGATCTGTGGGAAGGAATCAGTATATTACATTATACCGAATGTAGATGTAGTATCAACGGTATTGTTATTAAATGTACATTGATCTGTGGGAAGGAATTAGTATATTACATTATATCTAATGTAGATATGGTAATAATGATATTGTTATTAAATGTACATTGATCTGTGGGATGTAGTCAGCATATTACATTATATCCATTGTAGATATGGTAATAATGATATTGTTATTAAATGTACATTACATACCTTATGTAGATATAGTACTAATGATATTGTTATTAAAGGTACATTGATCTGTGGGAAGGAATCAGTATATTACATTATATCCAGTGTAGATATGGTAATAATGACATTGGTACTAACTGTAGGTACATTGATCTGTTGGAATGTATCACTATATGACATTATATCTAATGTAGATATAGTAATAATGATATTGTTATTAAAGGTACATTGATCTGTGGGAAGGAATCAGTATATTACATTATATCCAGTGTAGATATGGTAATAATGACATTGGTACTAAATGTAGGTACATTGATCTGTTGGAATGTATCACTATATGACATTATATCTAATGTAGATATAGTAATAATGATATTGTTATTAAATGTACCTCGATCTGTGGGAATGAATCAGTATATTACATTATATCGAATGTAGATATAGTACCAATGATATTTTTATTAAATGTACATTACATACCTTATGTAGATATAGTACTAATGATATTGTTATTAAAGGTACATTGATCTGTGGGAAGGAATCAGTATATTACATTATATCCAGTGTAGATATGGTAATAATGACATTGGTACTAAATGTAGGTACATTGATGTGTTGGAATGTATCACTATATGACATTATGTCTAATGTAGATATAGTAATAATGATATTGTTATTAAAGGTACATTGATCTGTGGGACGGAATCAGTATATTACACTATATCTAGTGTAGATATGGTAATAATGACATTGGTACTAAATGTAGGTACATTGATCTGCTGGAATGTATCACTATATGACATTATATCTAATGTAGATATAGTAATAATGATATTGTTATTAAATCTACGTTGATCTGTGGGAATGAATCAGTATATTACATCATATCGAATGTAGATATAGTACCAATGATATTGGTGTTAAATGTACATTGATCCGTGGGAATGAATCAGTATATTACATTATATCGAATGTAGATATAGTGCTAATGATATTGTTATTAAATATACATTGATCTCTGGGTAGCAATCAGTATATTACATTATATCTCATGTAGATATCGTAATAATGATACAGTAATGCTCGGCTAAATTTCACTACCTTCGGGAGTCAGCAGTGAAATTATCGCGAGCAGGGTAGCGTTTTTATTCCGAGAATTGACTCGAGCAGAACTTGACAGAGTAAGAGAATAGGTACGATAGGAGGAAGCGAGATGGACGTACTACGTCTAGCATCGACGGTCGAGGCAAGGCAGTTCAAAGAGATGCCGCGAGTAAAAAAAGTGAACATGCAATAACGAGAATTTCACTATCAGTAATTTTCAACTTATTTTTATGAAAATTATACCATTGAATTATTGAGATGCTTCTGATTGAAATCAGTCCAAACACGACGTAAATCGGATTGTATTTACGTTATCTAATGATTTCGTAAGAAATCACGTAGAGTTAATCATAATGTAAACCATAATGGATCATGTACAGTAAATATGGTTCAAATTATATCGTGTTTGGACTGATTTTAATCGGAAGAATGTCAGCTATCCATCGGTTCCACAATTATAAACGTAAGACGAAAATGACTGAAAATAAAATTTTCTTTAATGCATGTTTACTTTTTCCAGTCGCGGCATCTATTTGATGTGCGTCCGTTCTCTTTCTTTTCATTGTATTCATTTTCTGTCCTTGTCTACTGAGATCAGGTTTCGCCAAGCTCGCTATGCTGAGTGGTGGGAGAAGAGTGGGGCTGGGTCGTGGAAATTTAACCGAGCTGATTTTAGTGAAATTTAGCCGAGCATTACTGTATTGTTATTAAATGTACATTGATCTGTGGGAATGATTCTGTATATGACATTATATCTAATGTAGATAGAGTGATGCCCACTTGGACGCCGACCGATTGGACGCGTTCCGATTGGACGGTCCCGATTGGACGCGTTCTGTTTGGATGCCGTGCCGATTGGACACGTTCCGTTTGGACGCTGGGCCGATTGGACGCGTTCCGTTTGGACGCCGGGCCGATTGGACGCGTTCCTTTTGGACGTCGTGCCGTTTGGACGCCGCGCCGTCACATATTAACCATGTCTATACATAAAGATGGTGTTCGGTGCGCTTACATTAATTACGATTGTTTAAAATTATAATTGTAACGTGGTGAAGTTGATTGTTTTTAAGTTTAAAGCGGATAATTTTGTGTCCCCTAAAGTATAGTTCAGCCTTAAATTCTTTCTGTAAAATTTCACATTCTAACCTATATCTGTCAAACGTTACACATAACTTTTTGACCTTAGTTATTAGCAGATATTGATTAGGTTTCGTCATGCTCCTGCCAAAACCGAGAGTGTTTACTTTCTCAAACTGTCAGTTGTCAGCTAGGTCAACGACCCGATGATGTCGTCTCTGTCAGTCACAGATAGGCGACGTCATCGGGACAACAACCTCGCCAGGTGATCGACAACTTAGTAACGACAATTTTCGAGAGTCGACTTTCGAGAAGTTTAAAACATCTAGTAATTGGAATCCGTAAATATTACAGAGATGTCACATTACAAAATGCTGGTTGGGGTAAACTTTACTTTACCGGACCCAAAATTTTGGACCTTTTTTTTTGAATCTATAGTTTTTGATGCGTAGAATCCAAAAATGCAAGTCTCAACTTTAGGAATTCAGTAGTTAAAAAGTTATAAGCGTGTAAAGTTTGACATTTTTAGCGGATTTGCTACGTTACTGTGACGCCATATTGCCTTAGATGTATAACCTGATTGGTCCTCGCATAGCGTAGAACTAAACTTCTGCTTACCTTAATTAAAAACATATTGTTTCCGAATCGCTTCCATCATTGATCCCATGAGGTCTATGTTGTTGTGACGGCAAAACCGTCGCCACAGATATTCGCATAAGCAATCGGCAAATTCCTCATCGTGAAAACGACCCCTCCCCCTCATCCAGTCCTTCGCCGGCCGCCAATTTGACTCTATTTGCTGGGTATGAGTCCCATCACTAGCTGTATTTAAATTATTCATAAAATTGAATTCTCTCTCTCTCTTTAAAAAAATATACACCTAACTAACTCAGACAGTATCAGATTTACCCGCCAAAGTAGTCGGCACCCACGTGAATCTGCCTACAGCTAGCGACACCGTTCATTGGACAAGAAGTCAATATGGCGTCACAGTAACGTAACAAATCCGCTAAAAATGTCAAACTTTACACGCTTATAACTTTTTAACCACTGAATTCCTAAAGTTGAGACTTGCATTTTTGGATTCTCCGCATCAAAAACTATAGATTCAAAAAAAAAAAGTCCAAAATTTTGGGTCCGGTAAAGTAAAGTTCACCCTCTATTAGATGTATTAAACCTAAATGATTTTATCTTCTATCAGGATTTCAACAAAAATTTGTCATTAAATTATAGCTCATAAATGGAAAGAGGAAATCATAACAAATTATATATACAAATGCTTTTGTTAATTAAGATATAAACAAAATAAGATGATAAAATTTGTGATTAGTATAATAGTTAAAAGTAGTGTATATTAAATAAGTTTCTTAGTTAGTAAGGAAAAATGTAGTCGAACCACACTGTATCAACGTCAGGTGTAAGAACCCAGTCATTCTTTTCTAATAGGTTTAAACACTAAAGTACAAGTAATAAAGAATAACAATGCAAATTAGTTAATGTTTCATTCAGTGATAAATAAAATATAATTAAATATTTTCTTAAACATTGCATGATAGTCAGTAATCAGTTAATAATTACGTAGACAAGGTACACGCATTATTGTATATGAATGAAATATTAAAAGCATCTTGTAAACCTGTAAATAAAGAAGACTTTGTAAGAAAATCCATAGAAATATACCGTAGTCAGTTAAATAAGATTTATACTTTGCAAGTAGGTTTATTTAATTTCATGTAAATGAGTGCTCCTATATTTATTGAATAAAGTGCATTATATGTTTATTGTCATGTCTCCAATGTCTCTAAAGAAATAAACCTTAAACACTACATTTTTATTAATGTGCTACAGAAAATGTATACATTGTCTGTTGAATAAATATGTTTATTACAAATAATAATTGACAACCTTGTATACAGTTGATAGTGTTATTAAAATCTCATAAATTGAATAGTACTTCTATAAATTTTCTATTCCTTTTGTGAGATAATCACAAGCAATCGAAATAATACTTTCTTTTTATTAACGGTAGCACTTATTCCACATTTGATTTTTTAATAGTATGTACTAATGAGCAACTGATTCAAATGAACGTTCGAGCTAACAAATGTGCACATTAACCGCATTGCTTATAAACTTGGCACATGCGTTCAAGCTTGAAAATGTGGTGTAATTTATTATTAATTTATAATATCAGAATGAAATAATTAATAAATATAGGATAGGTTAGGTATAATATCCAACAGATTTAAACATTATTTTTATTTAGTATTATATCTTTATTTTCACTTATTAAATATGCATAAAAAATTTGAACTATCCGTAGTATGTTTTTATTAACATACTGCAACAAATGCATACATGTCCTTCATTTCCTGAATGGATCTATTCAACTTTTCTATTCCATAATTTTTTGATTGTAATTCCCTCATCAATGTCTGAATGAATGCTGAAAATGAAGAAAAAGAAATAATATTATTATATTGTTACGTCCGGGTTCATTTTTCATTAACCCGACCTTGCGTTCCTCATCGGGTGCGCTGCATCTGGAAACTTTCCACGTGAGGGGCGCAAGGAAGGGCCTTTCTTATTTTACTTTTCCTCGTTTACCTGTTCGCGCTCCTCCGATCTTGTGTTCTTCCGTCGGGTGCGTGTGCACTTGGAAGTGATTCCTCACGGAGAAGTCAAGAAAGGAGTTTGAGATTAAAATTATAATTCTCCTTTTTCCTTTTCTCTTATTAGTTTCAATAGTTTAACCGTCAATACACCAAGTTTGTGTACCTCGCCAGTGCGAAGCAATTGGAGATAATCCCAGGCGAGGCACACAAAGGAGGCTATATTTAGTTCTTTCAAATAATACGAGTCAACCTTTCTTTGGGATGATTGCCTAGTCGAAACTACGCAGCGACAAAAACTTCGAAAGTCGAAACCGTTTAGGGAGAGGTATCATAAACATCCTTCGCCGCGCGGTTAAGCAGTGCGACGCACTTGGAAATTTCCCAACTTAACCGTGCAACATAAAGAAGAATTTTCTTCTATTCTATTAGCGAGGTACCTCTCATTCCTACAAAACATGCGTCAGCCGACCCTTCCACAAGGAATGAATGCAATTAAGAACAAAGCGATTGGTATGCTACGGAATGAAACTGTTTGAATGATATTGGAATGCGAGGGTTTGCGTGACAACCGCTGTAGTTCGAAATTGTTGACGAATGTTCGAGACAATAAACATCGTCGTTAAACGTTAAACGTAGAACGTTTCGAATATACGTAAATCGTCGAAATACGAATAAGAACATTAATAACTAATAAGCGCGGAACGAATATTAACTAACGATAAATGCAACACGCATGTATCCGCGATTTGACGACGATTATAAAACACCGGTTGCATCTTGCGCAAACCGCTAAAAAGGGATTAACAGAATAATTAACAGTATTCAACTAATAGTCATTCGGAACAGTAAATCAAATATCTGTATTAAAACGAAGACCTCTTTCGATACCGGAAACGACATTTGGAGAACCCTCTTTGATTAACGAATTCGAATAAATTAAGTCGTAGTAGATTTCGAATATTCCAGAAATTTTGGAATTGCGACGCATGAAATCCGCGTAGCGTTAGAGGGGTAGAAAGAAATGGACAACCTTAAACAAAGGCAGAAAGAAAGGTCAGGAAGGGATGAGAAAACTAGGAAGAACGGCCAACTAGCCCAATACGCACGGGATTTCCCCTCCGACACGTACCCTGATTTGCCAAATGATGTCCCCACTTTGGGCCCTTGATCGCGGGTCGAACCCTGAGACACGATCGCTTGACTGAGGCAAATTACTCTTCGTCGAAAAATCGCAAGGTACGTGACGGGGAGCCCGTGTTCGCGTAGAGATAGAGTTGTTAGTAAAATCGCGTAATTAGATTGCTCGGCAAGTCTTCATCAAGACAGAGTGTCGAGAGTGTTTCGGTTCGCGGTTTTGTGACAAGGACTCAAACGAATACGTTAAATTTATTTCACACTTTTCAATTTCTATCTTTTCTCTTTCGTTTTTATATCGTTCGTATATTATTTATTTTTCTTTTTCCGCGTCGCGTCGTTTTGCAATTAGTTTGTATTCGTTTCGTAATTAATCGTCCCGTAACACCGTAATAAAAGGCCGATCGCGAACGCGCAGTGCAAGTGATAGCTTTCTCATCTCTTCTTTGACTTCCAGATTCTAGACGACACCAGAGATAAATAAGCGACAAATAGTTCAAAGTCTTATCATATACTATTTTACATCGATCTTGGTAAGTTGTCCATTTCATTTCTATCCAATACGACAAATCTGGACGTAGTGAGGCAAAACGGGCGATCTACGAAACCGTGTATTCTGGAAAATATCCCACTAGATCGTGCCGTCTAACGTTACGATTTAAGGTATCGAACATTAATATTCTTGAATAAATTCCGATTCACACGCAAAGAAGACGGCCCCACGAAACCGTGGCTCTGCTAATTTATCCTCTGGGACCGTTCTTTCTTTCTTTTCGCGCTTAATTCTTCGCCGAACATCGTTGCTCGAATTATCGAATCAATTAATCAAACTTTGATTAACCAGTAATCAGTAGCTTCATTTTCATATAATTTATACTTTTCTTTATAATATATTTATTTTCTCTTGTATTTCAAACAGCTCGTACTTCCTGTTAACCAAATACTTTTAATGTCATGCTTATTTTTCCGAAATTATATTTTTGTTACACCTAACCAGTTTTAATTCATTTACGTTTCAAACACATCCTTTCCTTCATTTTCACGCCTACCATCTAAGCGCAAATTCACACGAGGGGCCCGTATGGGACTAGAGCATTGACGAACCCGATTAATCTCTAAATTAATCTATTAACTTATCTAACAACTCTTTTATTGTTCTAATCGTGAGTGATCCAACATCGTCACGAGCGATTAGGACTGGTGGCAGCGCTAATACCGTTCTCAACCGCGTATTAATAACCATTATTAATTTTCTTTTTTTTTTAATTTTGTACGTCGCGCGCCGTATCTCGCTCGCGACGTAACAATATATTGATACATTGTACTCAACAACATTAATTTGGAATAAAGAATGTATTGAAGAAAATAAGGTTTAATATTTCTTTACCTAAAACATATTTCCAGATATATCATACAAGAAAGTAATTGCATCTGTTTGCAAAGTACGTTTTTGTTATTTGTCCTAGTATTTCATTCCACGCTGCTTAATTTCTTTAATGTATCTATTCAAATTTTTTACTCCATCATTTTTTGGTTGTAATTTCCTCATCAATGTCTGAATGAATGCTGAAAATAAAGAAAAAGAAATCATATTATAATATATTGATACATTGTACTCAAAATCATTAATTTGAAATAAAGAATGTATTGAAGAAAATATGGTTTAATATTTCTTTTACCTCAAATATATTTCCACATATATCCTGCGAGAAAGTAATTGCATCTGTTTGCAGAGTACGTTTTTGTTATTTGTCCTAGTATTTCATTCCACACTGCTGAATTTCTTTAATGTATCTATTCAACTTTTGTACTCCATAATTTTTTGCTTGTAATTTCCTCATCAATGTCTGAATGAATGCTGAAAGTAAAAAAAAGGAATCATATTATTTTATATTGATACATTGTACTCAACAACATTAATTTGTAATAAAGAATGTACTGAAGATAATAAGGTGTAATATTTCGTTACCTTAAACATACTTCCAGATATGTCTTGTAAGAAAGTAACGGCATTCAATTTCCAAATATTTTTCTCTCTAACCTGTACCTGTCAAATGTTACAAATAATTATTGTGATACACAATAATTGGTGATGAGAACCGCTGAAATCAATTGGAGGCTGTAGAAATGGTAGATGTGAATAGATTTCACAGCGATAGTAATATACCTTTAATACACAAAACTACTTACCAAATAATGTTAAATATATCAAACATTTGATTTTGGCTGCAACTTAATTATTTATTAATAAAACTGTATTATATACTCCTCTTACTGCGGTAAATAGACAGATATTACTTTGCAATGAGAATGATACGCACCATGTCATGCCGTATTGTCAAGCACTCATGCACTACTAATGAAACAAAACAAACCAGTACATTTGCATAATTAGGCAATATTATTGTATCTTTTGTCCTATTACATGCAATACGTGGATGAATGATCCCCTGGTATCTTAATGACCACCTTGTAAATATTCCTCTACTCTAACCTATACCTGTCAAACGATATACATAATTTACTAATCTAACAATTAGTTGTTTTATGAAACAAGCTTTGCTACGCACCGTGCTAAGTCGGATTGTCAAAAACTGGACATCTCGTTTCTTACATTATTTTGTTAAAAAATATAAAAATGTTGCGCACAAGACTCAATAAAAGTTCCACATATACATTAAATCACTTCCAAATTTAATATTATTGACCATGAATGTAATCACATACTTAAGGTGATGCGAGCGTCGAGGCCGAACTTCGAATTCCGCGTCGGTAAAACAGTCAACGTTGCATCGAAAATTAGACCGAACAGAATGTAGTGGTTTTGTAAGTTTCCCCAGGAGGAATAAATGTAGACACTTTAGGCACTAATGTAACTCTTTATTGCACACGGTTTTACGTCTTCTTATTTCCGAGGTACAGAGAGGAATAATACTTTCTTCTTACTTTTAAGGCGATGCTAGCGTGGAGGCCGAACTTCGAATTCCGCGTCGGTAAAACAGTCAACGTTTCATCGAAAATTAGGCCGAACAGAAACTGATTTCAACGCCACCTGAATTATCGCATCCAACTAACGTCATGCTATGCTACGTCACTTTTCGCATACACCTAAATGACACACGGATGCTACGGCAGCTCTACTATATACGTTACAGCAAAGTATAAAATACGATACTGCACACATGACTTAGGAAATATATGAACGACCTAACTCCTTTAGGCAAATGTTATATATACATTTTTTGTAATATAAAATAATCAAGGAAAGAATATTCCTACAAATTGAATGTCTAAAGTTAGTTTTTTTTAAAATAATATGTCCCGATATTGTACTCTGAATTCCTATAAATCGAGTGCCTAAGGTTACTTTTTTTAAAAAATAATATGTCCCGATATTGTTCTTCGAATTCCTATAAATGGAATGCCGAAGGTTGGTATATCCTTTTAAAGGAAATCGTCACTGTATCCATCTTCAGGCACTCGCAGCGAAAATCGTCCACCCGCAATGAACTGTATATAAACAATAACTACAAAGAAAATACACTGCTTATGTATATGAAATTATTGTCCATACATAATTATCTAATACAGTCAGAAAGCAAAAGATTTAGTTGAATAATAATCGAGATATAGCATTGGAAATAGGATCGTATCCGAAATGAACCTCACAGCGAAAATCATCCACTTTCAACAACGTTTGATAAATTACAAGAGTTATTTCATTTTGTAACTTTTAATAAGTGAGTTATAAATTTTTGTATGCTAACCATTTTTATCTAACTTGTATAGCTTTTTAGATAATCAATCTTGTTAGAAAAATTGCAAGTATTCAATTTTGGAAATGATTTATGCTTTTACAGTAGCAGATATTCAGGTCCTTTCTCCACGTAACAATTCTGTACACTCTATCCAACAAAATGATCTAAATTGTTATTACATTATATGTAGACATGTAAATATGTTTAAATAATAATGGAACGGAGAAAGACGCATAAATCGCACGAACGTCTGCTGATATTTTTCATTATATTTCAAAAACTAAGGATTTAGGAAATCGTATGTGTACATCGTCAGTACAGAGGATAAGGAATAGAAGAATGAATGACAAGAACGTTACTAGCGGAAAATGTTATAATTACACCTAATAATAATAACAACAATACAAATAATAAATATAATAATAATAATAACAATAACAATAATAGTAATAGTAATAGTAGTAGTAGTAGTAGTAGTAGTAGTAGTAGTAGTAGTAGTAGTAGTAGTAGTAGTAGTAGTAGTAGTAGTAATATAATAATAGTTCCTGAAATCAAAGAAATTATATTTGTATATTATCTTTCATTATTACATATTATACATATATTATCGTCATACTCACTTCTAACGGCTATTGCCTCCAATTACCTTCTCCGGTTGGCGGCATACGCCATATGCAAGCGGCACTGTGGCCCGTGCCAAGGATGTTGGGAATATACCCGCACGGGCAGCCAGCTTGCACGTCCGAGCCGCGGCCGCGACCGCGACGCTCCCTTTCTTCCCGCAGCTGCCGGTTCATCGCCCTGCGGCATTGGCGTACCATCCGCTGCTCTATACTTTTCAATGACTGGAAATATAAATATTACGTTATTATGTATAAACAATGAATAGCAGAAATAACGTACAAACAGGAACGTAAGAAAACGACTTACGCTTTGTTGCTGCAAATGCTGCAACTGCAGCGGCACCACCGGTTGCTGCGGAAGCAATAATTGATCACCAGACAGCGACAGGTGCAGCTGCTGGTTTTGTTGCTGCTGGTTTTGTTGCTGCTGCTGCTGGAGCAACTGTTGCTGTCGGTATAGCTGTTGCTGCTGCTGCTGCTGGAGCAGCAGTTGGTCTTGCTGTTGCGGTTGGTCTTGCAGTTGCTGTTGGTCTTGCAGTTGCTGTTGGTCTTGCAGTTGCTGCTGCTGCTGCGGCACTGCACAGAGCAGCTGTTGCATCTGCAGCTGCAGCATCTGCACCTGCGACCGCAGCTCTTTGATCTCCCGCGAGTGCTGCTGCTGAACTTGCTGCTGCAGTCGCAACAACGGCGTCCGTTGCGGTGCTCTGTGCTCCTGCTGCAACTGCAGATGCTGCATTTGTTGCTGCAACTGGAACACGGGCAGCAGTTGCGGTGGTTGCTGCAGACGCAGCGATCTCTGCGACTGTTGCGGCTGCTGCGACTGCTGCGGCTGCTGCGGCTGCTGCGGCGGAAGTTGCAATTGCAGTTCCGGCTGGGGCTGGAGTTGCAACTGCGGCTGTACTTCTTGCAACTCCGGTTCCATGTACTCTTCCTCTTCTGGGAGTGCTTGCAACAGCGCCTGCGGTTGCTGTTGCACTCCCACTGATTTTCCCTTGGTATGTTCTAAAAGAAAATTGAAAAACATGGATAATATGTACCGCAGAGAAATTTGAAATGTATTTATCCACAAATTTACGAATATTCATTGACAATTACATGTATTGAACTGTATTGAATTACAAAATACGAATAAACCAGTTCACAGAAAACCAATGTATCATGGAAAAATATTCCGGAAGACAAAAATTTTCTCCACACAAATTACCGCAGAAATATATAGGGGGTCACAAAATTATTCGCTCACCATTTAAAACAGATTAGCTCATTTAAAATCGGACCAAATAACGTGAGGTTTCTGGAAAAGCTATACAAATTAGTTTATTAACATACCTATTTTTGTCGTTTTAAAAAATTCCAATTTATCGAAATCGGGAAAAAAATAGTAACGGGCAATTTTTTAACTTTTTTATCAGAGCTTGCAATGGAAATTTAAAATATGACATTTGTAAATTTAAGTATGTAATGTGTATACTGAACATATCATCGATATCGGTCAATGCACTTAGAAGTTACAAGTAATTTCAATTTCCGAAAATCGCGACTTCTCATCTATACATCTCTGTATACAGTAAAACCTGGATATATGCAACAGGAATTGGAACCCAAACATTGCACCAAATATCCAAGCGAGATGTCGATTCTGATATTTAGAGATATTTATTCTATTATTTATTATTCTATTATTATTGTTTATTATTGTATTATTGTTGTTAGCTTGTAAATTATTCAATACAATTCTGTCCAAGTAATTTGAATTACTTATAACTTCTAAGTGCATTGATCGATCTCGACGAAATTTTCAGTATACCCCTAACTTATTTGAATCTACGAAAGACATATTTTAATTTAAATTTTAATTATACGCTCACATAAAAAAGTTCAAGAATTACCCTTGACTACTTTTTCTCACGATTTCAACAAATTGTCATTTTGTAAGACCATAAAAGCATATATTTTAGTAAATTAATTTGTACGGCTTCTCGAGAAACATCACGTCATTTGGTTCAATTTTTTGACCCACTGTATATGAGACAAAGCAAATTTCGAAACAAATATTTTTATTACAAATGTTCACGGAATGTAATTGTCAATGACACTCGGGAAGTAAAGACGAAAAGAAACACTTACTGCGGCTTTGCGAATTCATTTTTTTGCTTCGATGATCACTACTTCGTAGCACGTTTCGAAATGCCGCTGCCAGGGAAATTGGAAAACGCCACAGCGTTGGCGTTTCGTTTTTGTTTCACTTGCGTAGCGTGGTGGGGGAAAGGCCCGCGTTGCCATCTACTACTTCTTTCTTAGACGTAGAAGACGTATTGAAAAATTGAATTTGTATCAATATTTGTGCAAAAAATAAGCACAAATGGCAAATAAAAAACGTACAAATCAGACGTTTCCGGGTAGGAGAAGGCTCTCCCTCAAAAGAACTTATAGAAAACTGTAAGTGCTTACAAAATACATTTCAGTAATTTGTGTGCAAATATTTACAAATATTTCTAACCTCGTCCATTCTACTTTGCAGGCGACAGAAACAATGGCAATCGTCGGCATCGACGATTGAACCTACTGCAGTTGTCAAAGAGAGAAATTCTCTCCCGGTAAAATGTTGTATATCGAAAAATGTGAAGGAGGTTGGTCAGACAGATATGTCAGACCCCCTACTAGTTTGTAAATATCATAATAATGATCCTTCGTTTATCTCAAACGATCCCAAAGATGCGGGGCGCATCTCATCAGAAAACGCCCTTCGCGAAAATAAAGATGTGGGACGCATCTCATCAGAAAACGCCCTTCGCGAAAATAAAGATGTGGGACGCATCTCATCAGAAAACGCCCTTCGCGAAAATAAAGATGTGGGACACATCTCATCACAAAATGCCCTTCGCGAAAATAAAGATGTGGGACGCATCTCATCAGAAAACGCCCTTCGCGAAAATAAAGATGTGGGACGCATCTCATCACAAAACGCCCTTCGCAAAAACGATGAAACTGTCGTACAATGCGAATGTACAAGTGAGAGATCCACTGTACAAAACGTCCTGGACAATACCGACAACAATCTCGTCGTAGACGTCGGACACGTAGATGTGGGACGTATTTCGGAAAATGTGCCAGAAGGCCGCCGCATTGTTGACGTTCAGTTCTTTTGGAATGAAATACATAGAACGTTCGACAATCATGCGCGAGGTATTGAATGTCATTTTCGCGATTGGAAAATGATCGGTAGTCGCCAACATGGGTGTCTCACACAGTTTTTCTTCAAGTGCCAAATGTGCAATTACGAAGATACTGTTTGGTCGGAACCTATGCATTCAGATATAATGAATGTAAATGAGGCCAT